TGGGAAAAAAACACCTTTAAAACAGTTGAGCCTATAAATAAGTTAAACATTACTGTATCTGCAAATTAATGAACTTCTAAGGAAATTGTAACTGGTATTGTCCTCTTTACTTTTAATGTACTTTTAATCTATGATCTGCACCTACATTAGTATTTAAAATAGTGTTTTTTGTATGTAGAAAGTTTTTCTGATTAGGTAGATCTGCTTCCACTACTTGACTGTATTTCAGTGATAATACCTTCCAACCCCGTGTGCAGTTCACTGAAACACATCCTATGTTGCCAGGAGCTTTGGTTTCACTCATGACGATTGCATTTCATCATCAGTGTTTATTCAACGTTTGTCCAAAACAGAGGGGAAAAATAACATCCTGCTGTGAACGCCTGTGCATGCTAAAGTGCGAACAAGTCAGCATCGAGTGCGGTGGAAAGCTTGCTGATGTGTACCTGGAGGGAGCATTCAGTCACAGCCTCAGACTAAAAATACTCTTTTTCTCAGAGTTTCTTTGTCCGTCTGTGACGACAGATGCTTTCCAGGACAGTTTTGACACGTGTGTTCGACAAGTTTCTTATAACAACCTAGTAACTCTGACGTGTCTCGCCACCTAAATATATGCAGCATGTACACAAAGTGTGACTCTGTTCTTCAGCTCTGACCGTGCGTTGGCATTTATTTCCTTTGCGTAAACTGCCATGCTCTTTGCTCGTGAGATTTTAGATGCTGAACAGAGACCAGCAGTGTGTCTTTCCTGAGGGTAAATTGAAAGCATCTGTATATAAGGGACAGTGCGTGTGTGCGGTTCCAAAATGACACAGTGGTGTAAAAGGGTGGATGTCCTGTTGAATCTCCAACAGCCAAGTGTCAGCTGAGTCAGCTTACTGGTGCAGGCCTGATTTGGTTGATGAGGACTGTTAATGTGGATGATCTTCTCATTGGTATCAAATATTTATGGCAAACATGTAACACAGTAAAAAGACAAATGCTCTAAAGAGGTTATCCTTCATTAAAGAGATTATCAGATCAAACCATCTTTTTTTTTTTTTTTTTTTAAATAAACACTGCTGTGATGTTTGTAGATGTTGTGTAGGCCTGGTCTTAAGTCTAAACACCTCATGGCAGTTTTGATCTCTAAGGACCTTTGCTTGTAATTGTTCTCTTCCCTCCCACACAAACAGATAACTCATATAAATGCAATAAATGCGCCACGCACACACGCACGCACACACACACACTTTGAGTTGCAGTGTGAACCGTACACGATAGCCAGGGGGTAATGAGTTGTGTGTGTTTGCCCTCGTGCTTTAACTCTCTTCCTGTTCCATTAATGAAGCCTCAATAGGCCCTCATGACTGCTGCTCACTGTCCAAACTCCTCCTTTTTGCATCCTGCAGCAAGGGAAAGTAGGCCCGGTGTACTGATCAGATAGTCAAAGAAAACATTATTGCCGCTTTAACAGATAGATACTATAGTCTCTTTCAAAAGAGGAAAAAAACAAATTATTCCTGGTTACTTACTCTGTTTCATTTGAAGTAGGTAGTTGGAAGAGCTGGGCTCCCAGCCATAATGTTCAGCTGGAACACCCCCTGTAGGTGGACTCCACGCTCAGAAAGGCAGACTAGTCACATGAACCCCAACTTTGCTATTCAAGATGGCAGCAGTGCGTGTAAACAGCAGTAAAACTCGATAATGTGTATTTTATGCTACCAGTGTTGTGTATTATTATTTACTAAAAAACCTACACAGGAAACTTTAAATAAGTCCCAGTACATCCATAAACTGCTCACATATATGTTTCTTATTTTGAAACTCACACTCAACTTGCCATGTGACAGCCATAAAAGATAAGAGATGAGACTAAAGTAAATCTGGATGTTTTGCACATAATATATAATAAGTTAATAAAAAACCTGAATTTTGCTTCGATTCCTCCTTTAGAGGCACGTTTGTAAATGGCCTGTATTTGTATAGTGCTTTACTTAGTCCCTAAGGACCCCAAAGTGCTTTACACTACATTCAGTCATCCACCCATTCACACACACATTCACACACTGGTGATGGCAAGCTACATTGTAGCCACAGCTGCCCTGGGGCGCACTGACAGAGGCGAGGCTGCCGGACACTGGCGCCAACTGGCGTCAACAGGCCCTCTGACCACCACCACTTGTTTCACAAGCTAATGACTGGAAAATCAGTAACTCACTAAAGTAGCGAAAAATGTAAAGACAAATAAAATGAGAGGGGAAATTACTTTTCACTATATTATGGAGCTGAGAAGGACACTGAGGAAGCTCCTCATGATCACATTAATAAATGAAAGCTGACAGTCGAGCTGTGCAATACTGCAAATGGATCGGATACCAAGTAAATGCAGATTGCCGACTCCAATAGCGATACAGATACTTTTAACCTATAAAAGCAGCTTATGTAGGGCAGAGCATTGTGTCATGATTTATTAAATGAATTCATTTGCCTTGAATCATCAATAATTAATCATGAATTATGAATTCATTCATTCATTGGATCTGTCTAGAATACATTTTAATGACCACTAAATCACTGTGGTGTTTGCTTTCCACAATAATTAGTTAACAGAACAAAACACACCTTTCAGCTTTTCATGTATTTTGAAACTGGGTTTTTTGGAGACCTGGAATGTAAATTTGTCAACGTAAAAAAAGGTTCAGACATTTTTTCATAGTTCATGTTTGAGGTGTATTTTTTATTTTTTAATTTTTTTTAAATTAACACAATTAAGTGGGCTACATACTGAACATAGAGGATAGAAACAAAGTATCGATTCTATCACACTAGTATCAATCTGACACCAATACCAGCGCTGGTATCGATACGCCGATATTTGGATTGAACTTCCCACCTCTATCATACAGTGGCTGCAGAGTGAGTTATTAGGAGACTCATTGCTCAGACAAACACTGACTTGCATGCAGTATATAAGATAGAGTGGCTTTGTTTTTCCACCTGCTGGCAAGCTCCCTCTGTGCTCTGAGAAAGTTTATGACGCATATTATGCACGCCATTGAAAAAATCCCCTGATGAGAGTTGCACTGAGTATTTGTGTTTCTGCCTAAAAGACTTCCAGAGGGACAAGCACCTAGACAATTAATTAAAACACTCATTTGGCCCAAATATAGGATATAGTTTGTTAACAGTATAAGTGAGTAGATTACACATAGAATGGTAGCTA